GCTTTCATGCCTAAGGCAGGACTAGAACTCCCAGTCTCCTGCTGATTTGCCCAAGTCACCCAGCCAGCTTTCATGCCTAAGGCAGGACTAGAACTCCCAGTCTCCTGCTGATTGGCCCAAAGTCACCCAGCCGGCTTTCATGCCTAAGGCAGGACTAGAACTCCCAGTCTCTTGGGGATTGCCCAAAAGGCAGGACTAGAACTCCCAGTCTCTTGGGGATTGGCTAAAAGTTACCCAGCTGACTTTCAGGCTAAGGCGGCACTAGAACTCCCAGTCTCCTGGCTTTCATGCCTAAGGCAGGACTAGAACTCCCAGTCCCCTGGTGATTTGCCCAAGTCACCCAGCCGGTTTTCACGCCTAAGGCAGGACTTGAACTCCCAGTCTCCTGGTTTTTAGTCCAGGACCTCAATCACTAGATCAAATAGGTTCTCGGAAGGTGAATCCCTTTCTCAGTGCCTCATTTTTTTTTTGTCTGCTTACTCCCGGGTTGCTTTCCCTGCAGGAGAAGGTAGGAAGCTGGGCGGTGCAACAGGAAAAAGAGAAGCGGTTACTCCAGCGTCCCGGGGCCGAACGCCTTTTTCCCAGCACCGAGAGGGGAAATAAATACGCCGTGCTGGTTGAAGGCCACCTCAATAACTCTGGCACTGGGCAAACAAGCGAACTGACCCTCACGTGGGATCGCACAGGCGTGCCAGGGGGCAGCGTGAGTATCTCAGCCGTGCCGTGGCACGAGCCCTTAGGAGACATGCGAGGAAGCTGCCTGCAGGGGAAGGCTACACTTATTTGATCTATACCGCCGCCCATCTCACATACAAAACTCCGCATGGCTTACAATAAAATAGATAAATCAAATCTCTCTCTATAAAAGCGAAATGCCCCTCGCGCATCATCACAAAATCTCCAGGACCGTAAAGCCTACAAGCTTGAAATTTGGCACGTATATTCCTCTTAGCGCTCGCTAAGAAAGGATTTTTCGAAATGGCCATCAGAGCGTTAGTATCTCCTATATTATTATTATTATTATTATTATTATTATTATTATTATTATTATTATTATTATTATTATTATTA